TAGACCTAATTGACAGATTCAGTAGAGTAGCTGGATACAAGGTCAACACTCACAAAACAATAGCCTTCTTATACCCAAATAGCAAACCCATTGAGAGAGAAATTTGGGAAATAATTCCTTTTACAATAGCATCTCAAAGAATGAAATATCTAGGAATCAACCTAACAAAGGAAGCAAAAGACCTCTACACTGAAAACTGCAGCATTCTGAAGAAGGAGATAGAAGAGGATATAAGAAAATTGAAAGATATCCCTTGTTCCTGGGTAGGAAGAACCAATTTAGTGAAAATGGCCATACTTCCAAAACTACTATATAGATTTAATGCAATGCCGATTGAAATTCCAACAATATACTTCACAGAACTAGAGAAAAAAATTCAAAAATTCATTTGGAACCAGAGGAGAACTAGAATAGCAAAAGCAATTCTAGACAACAGAGACATGGCTAGGAGAATCACAATCCCCAACTTGAAACTATACTACAAAGCTACTGTGATAAAACAGCATGATACTGGCAAAGAAACAGACCTGAAGATCAGTGGAATAGATTAAAAGATGCAGAAACAACTCCAGACATTTTCAGCCACCTCATCTTTGACAAAGGAGCCAACTACCCTCATTGGAAAAAGATAGCCTATTTAATAAGTGGTGTTGGAAAAACTGGATTTCAACCTGCCAAAGATTAAAACTAGACCCATACCTATCACCATGCTCTAAACTAAGATTGAAGTGGATTAAAGATCTAAATATTAAGACAGAAACATAAACTTGCTGGAAGATAAGTTATGTAGAACTCTTGATGACATTGGCATAGGAAAAGACTTTATGAATAAATCTTCAGTAGCACAGGAGCTAGCACAAAGAATCAACAACTGGGATTTCATTGTATTAAAAAGCTTCTGAACTGCAAGAGAAACTACCAACGGAGCTAAGAGACAACCTACAATTTGGGAAGAAATTTTTAGCAGCTGTACCTCAGACAAAGGTCTACTATCGAGAATATATAAAGAATTGAAAAAATCAGACCCCCCAAATTCAAAGACCCAATTAAAAAATGGGCATCAGAAGTGAACAGACATTTCTCAGACAAAGAAGTAAAAACAGCAAACAAATATATGAAAAAATATTCAACATCACTTGTCATTCGAGAGATGCAGATGAAAACAACACTGAGATTCCACCTCACCCCACAAAGAATGGCTGCTATCAAGAAATCGACCAATGACAAATGCTGG